CCAGCTATTTGGAGGCCAACGCTCTTTAGACAGCACCCTTGGTGCAAAGAGCTAGTTTCTGCCTCGCTGGAGCCCGTGGGGACATAGCAGGTCAGGCCCATCCCTGTGACACTGGCAGATCTCCTGCCCTCGTGGTGGTAATGGAGCTGTTTGAATCCACAGCAGGCACAGGGGAGATTGTCTCTTGCCTAGAAAATACGCAGCTAGCCTGGATCTCTGTGTTTATGTAGCAACAGGGGACTATTGTTCTGTGAAAGCAGGCTGTTATGCTGACATGACTTCCTTGTTATTTAGTTTGGTTAAATAACTCAACTCCCCTTTACCTTCTTCCCGCACAGCAGGCTGCAGACTACACAGCATAAGCAGTTAAAGCAAAGCACTACGGCCTCATTATCATGCTGCTTTCTATTCAAGGACTCTACCTCTGTTCCCCTCACCCGCTGCGTGCTGCCTTTATTGCTCCACCCTGCCTCATTAGCAGTGTCTCAGCCTTGCCCCATCTGGCTGTCACCCTAACCACCTTCCTCCTCTCCTGAGTCTCCCCGTTATTGACAGCCCCTGGGAAAACACAGGGTTTGCGCTAAGAGCCACTAAGAGAGATTTCAGCCACAGTTAGGCTCCAAACCCTAGCAGCAACCACCATAAGCAAATGCTCAGGTGCAACAAGGCGTGAGCAGAGTTAGGAGAAGGGGTGTAAGCGTGTGCAGGCAGCCAGCACTTGTGCCGAGGCTCCAACAAATAATGACAAGTTAGAGGCAAGTGCCAGCTCTTCTTAGGAACATGCCTCTTGCTGCGATCAAAACTGCTGGACTGTAATGATAACTCTACCTGAAGCCTCTCGAGAAGGCAGGGGTGGGATCGCGTCTGCTGCTGCTTCTAAATGGCATGGGCCTTGCCAGCTGCTGCTTCACCACCGTGTTTTCTTACTCCCCGAAGGGTGCGAAGGATGCAAACCGCAGAGGATGCGGCACGGGACCTGCTGAGGTGGCAGTCTCCTATAATTGAGACAATTTAGCCAGCAGGACTGCGTAAGTATGTGCGGCATTGCCCTGTTGTCTCCCGGTTTATCCTCCGGGATGGGCTAGCTCTGCGGGAGGCAGAAGCCAACTCATTTGGCAAAGCTTTCATTTCTTTTCTCTGCCTTGCTAGAATGCACCAGGTGCTGCACCTGCTTCTGTGTGCCTGTGGGGGTGAGTGTGCGCTTGCTTATACGTCGCACAGCTGCATGTGTATGTATACGTACTCACGTACACATAAACCTATGTATCTATATGCTTGTTCAGCAGATGCATATGTGGCATATATACCCATTTACACTTCTGTGTAGCATGGCTTAAGATACAACTTGTGACTTTTACTCATAGCGCTTTTCATAGCACTCTGGTAGCTGAGTGCAATGAAAAGAAAACACATTCCCTCCCTCCTAGTACACTTAGGAAAAAAACCCTTTCCCTTCAGTTGCGGCACTACTTTTCACCTCTGTTGCTCTGTGACAGCAGCCCTGGCTTGGCCTCTCTGTCAGGTAATTTTCTCAGAGACCTGTGTTACTCCCCCTTTCCTAGGTCTCAGTATTTTGTGCTTGGAGTTTACAAACCCCGTTCCTAGGCTCTGCAGAACTGAATCAACCTACTGGCTCACTAATGCTGCAAAACATGGTCCTGCCTCCCAACTCCTCATATCCACAGATGTGCGATATGGCTTCCCCTCTTGCATGGGCTCTGGTGCTTGCTGAGCCCTTCCATGCACTCATTCAGCTCAGTACAACAAAAGAAAACGTTTGGGGTCCTTTTGGCGGGTGGGCAGTAAAGCTGCGTTACTTTTTCACCGGTTTAGCAGGTTGAACCGGCTCAGCAGGTTGTTCACCTAGTACCAGAATAAGGGAAAAAACAAAAGCGTGTGGCAGAGAGCGGGGTGAGCAAAAGGAGTGGGGAGGAAGGGATGGCAGCAAGCTATTACATCAGTTGTATCATCAAACTGTACCCGAGTACCCTCTCTGCAAACATATTCCATATTGCTGTTGGAGACAGGTTCCTGGGTAAGACAGACCTTTGGTATGGCCATTTTTATGTTGTTGTAAACTCAGTCTCCAGGAGTGAGAGGTATAAATCTCTCCACCTACAGCAGGCAATCCTGCAGCCACGTCCTTTAAGGAAGATCGCTAGCTATCTATTCATACAGCTCAAGGGAGCTGCTTTTGTATTTTAATGCATCTTCTATCTATGGCATTGACAACTAAGGCACTCGGTCTCTCCGAGAGTTTTTCAATGCTGGCTGAGATTTCCTGGAATGGTAGTCACCCATTTTTCTCTATTGCTAAACTGTTCTTTCACATCATTTTGCAAGCTCCCCTTCTGCCCTCCACCTATGGCAAAGCTGCCAGTGCCTCATTATTAACTCTCTGGTTGTTTCTTCACTCCTGGCTGCCATTCTTTTTTGTGCTGCAATGGGACACTGAGGAACCATTGCTGTATCTGCCTCCCTAATGGGATGTTGCCCTACAGTGAGCTTGTTCTCTATTTAAAAAAGAAATAAAATCTCTGATTCTGGGGATGAAAACCACTCCCAAGTATTTGAGTATCTATCTGCTGTACCACACAAAAACTTGGCACTGCTTTATTTTTCTGCCTGGGTGTGTGGCTGGGAGTGTACATTACCTGTTATTTCAGCTACTGTGTGACAACTACAGCATTTTTTTCACCCGGGCTTGTAGGATTTTTCAGCTGCTCTCTTTATCTTTGTGAGTCTGGATACTTTTCACTTATTTCCTCCCTGATTTCTTAACCTTAGAAATACCAGCTGTAGTCTGCCTGACTTTATTTTTTTTCTCTCTCTCTTTCTCTCTTCCACATGAACTAGAAGAAGAACAGAGATTTCCTGAAACAATATGAAGCAATTGCACACTGAAGAAATACAGATTAACTAGGCAACAAAAATGAAAGTTAGAAACAGTCTGCTGAAAATCACCGAATCTCTCTTAGCTCCTGCACCTCCATTCTTCTGGCTCTTGTGAAGCTCTCTAGCATTTTCCAGCATAAATAGGCCTTCAATTTCTAAGGTAAAAATGATAAACAAAATCCAACAACTTGAAAGAAGGAAAGTTTTCTTCATACATAAAAAGGAGGCTAAAATAGGACCCTTGCTGTTGCAAGTCATCTTTAATAGCTGCCACATTTCCTCCTGGAATAGTTAATGGCAACTTCGCAAGATCTCCCCGGGTCTCTTACAGGTTCTGCCACTCATTTTACGACCATGGGTAAACCATTTCTTCACTCTGTACCTTAGTTTCCTGCTGAAAAATGGTGCTAATAACACACACCCATTTCTAAATAACTTGTGATGTTAAAATATTCATTGCTAGCAAGTCCTTTGAGATCCTTTAAGGTGAAGTTCTGAACTCATGCAAAATGCTTTTCTAGCAAAACCAACCCCCCAGCTAAAATCACGTGTGCATACATACATTATTGAATTTCATCTTATATTTTGTTTCAGTGATGCATTCCCGCTCATCTGTGTAACAGGAACCAACAGAGAGGGCCAAATTTAGAATTCAGCCACAAATAATGGATTCTAAACTTAGCATTATATTAATATCAGCAAGAACAAATCTGGAGTATTTGAAAATTGTGTTCCAGATTGCTGCCTGAGGATTTTTTTTTGAATCTCATGACAGTCACAAGACCAGGGTGGGTGAAAAGACTTTCAAAGTAGAAATTTGCTTTGTGTGCTGCAATGCTACAGGAAATCAAATATATGTTCTTTTACGATAATATCTGTTCTTTAGAAAAAAACTTTAGAAAAAAATGAATACATCCAAATGTTGCAAAAATTCAAACTGCCATGAAATAAATCCAGAGGTGGTGAAGAAAGAATGCCAATGGATTTACCCTTTTGCACTACATCTGTTAAAAAGTAACCAAACCAAAACATTGTTTTTCTGAGGGTTTGATTAATCTGACCACACGTAGCAGAACCTAGACTAAACTCCGTCCCATACTGAGACTGCTTTACACAGCTTATCTTTTTTTCTATTTAAAAGACCATGCAGGTCACAGCCTGAGTGTTTTAATTCAGTTTGGGGCTGTCACAGGAATACAGCCCTAAGTCACTTTTGTGTTTATGTGTCCATTGATGTGAGCGGGTCATTCTGTTGCAGTCTGTTTCTGGTGGCAATAACAACATGTGGTCCAAGTCGAGCCCAAGTTTTGGACCTGGAATTGGGAACTGCATTTTGAATAAGCCACAGTTTGTACATGTGCGTGGATGGTAGATGAGGGGCAGGGGCTCTGTTCAGGGTCAGGTTTGAATCAACTGCAAAATTTGGAACCAGCAGGTAACTCTGCTCTAGAGTTTGGTCTAGTCCCAACTTCTGTCTGTTTACACTTACTATGACAAATTCAGTAATTGAAAGGTAGCAGAATGAGATCCAAGGAATTTTATTCCATATTTCATCTGCTGATTACCTTTTCCCCCACATTCCCTATGGTATGCCCCTTTAAATCATTCTGTCTTTCCCTACTTCTTTCCCTTCCATTTTCAAACTCATTTCTCTTTTTCTTGACTCTCTCTTGTTCTCCTCAGGCTCGGTGGCTAGTTCTCTCCATCTCTCTGAATTACTTGTCATTTCTCAGCTGTCACGGACCCTCTGAGCCCTGGCCTTCTGTCTCCTTATTAAAAGGGCTGTCATTCTAAAGGGTTTTTTGTTTCCAGCTTTAAAACAAACATGCTTTTATTATTTTAACAAAATCTGACGTCGGCAAAGAAAGTCAATCAAAGGGCTTGACTGTAAACTTTTTAATTTGGCTGTGTTTGTGTTTCACGGGACGTATGAACACGTAGGTATCTGAAGCAGAGTGCTGAAAGCCAGTTTATGGCTGGAGGTTTGGGGGGCGGTGGGGGTGGCAAGTGGATGCTTTCCTGAGTTTTGGTCACTGTGTGCTTCCTACACAGCCTGGTCCTTGTGAGAGCGATCTGGACCTCCCTTTCCCCTCTCCCATACTTACTGTAAAGGTATAGGCTGGCATTTGTGACTCCCAGCTTGTTGGCAGCCACGCAGGTGTAGTTCCCATAGTGTTCCTCAGTGACGTTGGCCACCATCAGCAGAGACTGGCTTCCCGTGCTCTTTATCTCCAGACCGTTAGCACTGTTTATCCTGGGAAGACAGGAGAAGAGGTGTGTAGTGCAACGGCAGTTGTGTTTTGGGAAGGAAATCACTGCCCAGCAAGCAGTAAACCAAAGTCATTCAGCCCAGCTAGCAGGTGAGGATGGAGGGAGGCACGAAGGAGACGTGAGAAGAAAGAGACCAAAGAAGGCATTGATGGAAAGCAGGAGCAGGGAATGAAAGGAAGAAGGAGCGCAGTGGGGTGAAATGCCACGAGTAAAGCAGTGGAGAAGCAACAAAAGCCAAGGGAAAGGCAGGAAGCCTTCACCCAGCACCGACTAACACTTGGAAATAAACACACCACGGCCAGTTGAGGGCTAGTCCGTACTTGAACAAAAGGGTTTTAGTGAAACACACCAATTCATGTGTTCCAGTATGTGCATATGCCAAAGCTGAGTCACCCATGAGTCTGTGCACATGGGTCAGGTTAAAAACCAGGATAGTAACACAACCTTCTTAATGCCAGGTAAATGCTCAGGTGTAAGGGACAGATCCTTTTTCTCTTCTCATTTTCTCTCTTATGCAAATCTGGGTGGCTCAGGTCACACAGATGGGGGAATCTTACACCTCAGCAACTCCTTCCCCTAGATGAGAGCACCTGGAGTGGCATTACCTACCTGGTGACTAACACTGCCTATTTTTTTTGTCTGTATCATGGGCTATTTAATGCATGAACATCATCAGGAAGAAAGCACTATTGATGTCTTAACTGTGTATTGGCCCGTAATTGACTTAAAGGCAAGAGCTCCATCCTTTGCACTTTCTTCAGCACCCCCAGCGCAGAGAGGGACTGCCTCCTCCAGCCCTGACCGTGCTGGCTCTGCCGAGTCTGATGGGACCATCATGACTTATGTGGATTGTGAAGAGTAATTTGTTTGAGGAGAAGAGTTGGGGAGGACAATAAGTGATTCTCCAAGGATCCTCTATTGAGTGGACTGAAAAGGAAAGGAGGGAAGAGGCGAGCTAAAGGTCTTACCTGGTATCATCTCTGTACCACTCGAAATCAGGCGTGGGGACCGCTGACGCCTCGCACCGGAGTAAGGCTTGTCGTCCCGTGGCCGCTTCATTGCTCTTGGACTCTGTGATGGTGGGAGGGTCTGCAGGAACGAAACACATGGTCACTTCACGCACTTCCAGGTGGAACGATACAGTGAAACTATGTCAGGGCTGGTTTCCTCATGCAAACCATTCGGGTCGGTGGAGGCCCACAACTCCTTCTGGCTGTGGCACACGCTCCCCCCTGCTCCTCTGGAGAATAACACCTGCTCTTTGAACTCTCCCTAATATACCGCGTTAGCATCACGCGTGCTTCTCTTCAGCAACACTGAATAAAGTTCTGTCATAAATGCATAGGCATACACAGGCAGAGCTAAGGTTAATGATGGACTTCTGTAATTTATGAATATTTACCTGTGGATCTCTAGTGCACATGGGCTCATCAGGGAGAAGAAGATGAGAGAAAGACTTCATTAAGGGTAAAGGATGACAGCAAAAGTAAAAGGAATAAAGGAGGAATTTAATACTAGCATGAATTTTTTTTTCCATATAACCTCTGTGTCTAATGTCAAAACTATAATAAGAAAGGAAAGGACTGAGGCAACATGTCTGAAACAGAAATACATTCACGGCTTAAAAGGGAAGAGCTCCAGCAGGAGCTGTGGGTGAAACTTTGAGAGCCAGACCACTTGTTGAGACGCTTCCCTTAGGTGTCTAAGGTGACAAATCCTGCCCAAACCTTCCTGGACATCATGTTTTGTCACAGGCTCCAAGCGGGCTTGCTCGGGATTGCTCTGCATGAAGCTTGCCCTCAGCCCAGCATGGTGCTCCCACCTCTGCTTACTTTGAAGCTTGAGAGTTGTGCCAAGGGCAAAGAAAACTTGGGAACCATATCGGTGTGCTCCGCTGGAGCTAGGTCTTAGTGCTGGCTGGGTGCCGAGTAGGGTAGGCACCGGCATCTTCAATCCCAGCCCCATGTTCAAAATGTTAAGTGACAAGCTTTACATGTTATAAGGCAGAATTATTTCCACCTGGCTGCTGAGAGGGATCAGGGAATAAGTGCCTTGTGTCTCATCACTAATACTTGCATACCCTGAGATTACGGGGCTGCAACTCAGGCAGCTACTTTGCCGAAACTCAAGTTACCACAAAGCACGCTCTGTGTGTACAGAGTACAGCTCCGCCGTCTGTATCCGTCCCAGCACTGAAAGGCCAAAAAAAGAATCAAAATGGATTGTGTCAGTCAAAGAAAAAAATAATTCTGTCTGGAAAATGAATGGAAAGAAGTTTGTTTGTGAACACATTAGCCATCTCAATGTGATCCCTTTCCTGACCTTAATCGGGATTTTATGCAGGGCTTTAGGGATATTGCAGTGCGCCCTCTAACATCATAAATATTAATAAGTGTACATAAATAGGATCCTACATTCAAAGGCTGTGGGTTCACGTAAATATTTTAATTTGGAAAGGAGGAGGGGTAATAAAAGGATAGTGAAGGTGATTTTTTAAGCATCCTTCTTCGATTTTCTGGTTTGAGCAGTATATCTTCTTGCTGCCTGCAGCGAGACAAACTTTTTCCATTTCACTGCATCCAGTACAAGAGGTGAGTCACAAAATGAACAAGCAGCTTTCTATGGGCCTAGAAAATGGCCTTGGCAGGCGTGTGCTCCCCGGGCTGCTGCCAGCCCCCCGCTCTGAGCCATCCCTGCCTTAGCCACCCTCCTCTGCTTTTTAAAGGACAGAGCCCAGAGGGGCGGCCAGCCCGCTGTACTCAGAAAGCAGCCGCTTTATGTTTAGCTGTTTTGCTGCCGGGAAAGCCAGGAGTGGGTTCCCTTTAGCTGTTTGCCCCCCCCCACTCTTCCCCAGGCCTCAGTTTCCCTGTCTGTGATGTGCAAGGGCCATTACTCGGGAAGCCTGAAGGTGGTAGTGTGAGACCAAAGCAAGGCGAGGATGCTCTCTCCTGCAGTCCGGGCTGACAAGCTACGTGCTCCACAGCATCAGCGGATGATAAGTGATGGCCAGGAAGCTCCCGAGGTTGGGCAGGTCCCATTTTTCAAACTTACTGTAGTTTTCCCACTTTCTGCTGCTTGTGGTGTAGTTTAAGGAAGCAAGATAAGGAAAGATGTATGCAAATGTCTAGCTGTCATTCCCCAAACAGGACTGATTTTTTTTCCTGTGCATGGCCCTCATAACCTCTTAGATTTTTTCCCTTTGTTTCAAAAAAAAAAAAAAAGATCTGTCCCTAAGGAATTTATAAGTTGCTTGCATTACAAATTAGGCCACATAATAATATTACAGTACTCTTATCACATTACATTTTTATACATTCCGACAGTAAAAATGTTTAAGATCTTACTGTAGCATAGTTATTATGAGTTGAAACTAAGTCAAAACCAAACATTCTGACTTTATACAAACAATCTGTTTCAACCATGTTAAAAGCATCACTGAAATTATGTCTCACAGAAATATTTGAAAATATTAATTGGTTCTTATGGAATGTCTCGGGTTTATAAACTCAGCTGTTTTTGACAGGAAAAAACCCTCAACAGTTTTACTGCAGAAAATCTGCTACTGCAGTTTCACATTAATGCTAAATTTGGCCCATAAAGCAGCTGGTATTAAACCACTGCCACCCAATTTCTCAGAGAATTATAAAGAAGTCTGTGGATTCTGAAGATGCTGCAGGGAGCCTATAACCTTGACTTCTAAGCAAGACAGACAAGTTGATCTGATGTGATGGCCCAAAGGGAAAGAAAGAGACAAAGAGCAAGAATGGTATTAAAAGGTGCTAAAATCACCTGTGGTGGCAAATTAGACTGGGATGGGCTGAAGCACTTGCTGCCGTCAGCTCTCTGCCCTAACCCACTCCTTGAGGGTGCTATCCGTGAATCGAAGCCGTGCGTATGCACCCTGAAACATGTCTGTAACCATCTCCAGTTTCAGGTTAAGTTAATATTCTGGTGCGTAAACTGAAGAAGGTCAGGAGAGGATATACCTCCCATTCATCCATCCCTGCTGCAGAGGTATTAGCTTCCAAGCAAGGAAACAGAGCGGGTAGATGGGGATATTCACTTTAAATCACTCCAGTGCCAAATACGAGCCATACAAATATGGAGGTGGACATATACACATGTCGGATTATAAAAGTAAGAGCAGTCTGAAATATCTTGTGTAACTGTGAGAGGAGCACGCCAGCAGAGCGAAGCGGACATTTGTCTAAGCACATATGGGCGATGGGATCCATGCCCCACTCATACAGTCGTGGATGTAAGCCCCATGGCCAACTGTGCCTCTCGGTGTTTTTAGGTGGATTGCCGTATCCTTTGGTATGGCCCCTTTCCGTACTGCATTGGTGCACAGAGGGTCTCTTTAAGAGGGCTTTACACTAATGACCTGAAATCAGCATAAAAGTCAAGTTTTTGCACCCTCTCATTAACACGTGCCTCTACCGCACGTCCCCCAGGCCCCTGGGCTGTGATACCCACGTAGGCACTGCTGAGATGGCTGGGTGCAGGCAGGCGTGTGTTTGCTCTGAGCCGGCTGAACCCTCCCTTATCTCTCCTTGCTGCCTTGCTGAAGCTTCTCTTCACGCTACTGTTCTCCCGAATATCAATGAGTGAAAACAAGGCATAGCCAGTGTTTCTGAGGGGAGAGATGGGAGCAACTCACAGCTCCTCTCTTTTCTCTCTCTCTTTCTTTTTTTTTCTCTTTTCTTATGTATTACCAGGTTTAAAGCACAAACTATACCCTATGATAAGTGTCTGATTGCAGATAGTCACCTCAGCGTCTCCCCCCCATTACAGATGACATACTATAAACCAGAAAGGCTTCTCTATTTATCCTAAAGTCACCCCTGCCTGTGGGCAAAACTCTTCCCGTTGACCTGCTCCAGTTGCAATGTACTCACAGTTCACAGTGACCCGGACTTGCTTGACGTCTGCTGAAGCAACCTCGTTGGCAGCTTTGCATTCGTACTTGCCCGATTGCTCTCGCGTGATCCCTAGGATCTCCAGATACTCTTCCTCGCCTTCAAACTCTCTGCCTGGTGGGACAGAAAAATACAGATGGTGGCTCTGTTAGGCATTCAGATTTGGGAAGCATTCCGCTTAATTGCTATGGAGGAACGATCACAACAGGGATTCTGCAAATAAACAACAGTCATGAGCGATTTTAAAGTATTTCAGAAGTCATATCAGCAAGATACTAGCCTTTTATTCAGTTACGGAAAACCTGGGTTCTGAAAATCTGGAAGGAAGCATACAAGCAGTACCAAAGCATTGCATCTCACAGGCTGTCCAGGCCAAGAAGCAGAATCTCTACCACATGAGACCGGAGTAGGTTCACTGGTGTGGTGGCTGAGTACCAGGGCAGGTGAGTCGGCCTGTGGCCGATGGGCTGGTTCAGGGCTAGCCGGGTCCTCAGATGCGGCGGTGTATTGTCAGCACCCTTTTCTCCACTGCAAAACTGTGAAAAATGTCTTTCTGACTCTCAGAGCAACCACCACCCTGAAGTGCCATCGATCAGATCGAGCTACCATTAAACACGGCCAAACTGAGAGAAACAAAGTGTAATTTGATCCGCAGAGACCAATAATCATCACGAATCCCTGATCTACTGTACATACAAAATGACATATTTAAACCGTGCTGCCTCGCTAACACAGTTTTGAAAGCAGTGACTTGAGCGTCGGGGTTACAGCCGGGGGCAGGAATCAGGGGAGGTCTGTGGCCTTGCTTTTAATTCACTGTATGACCTTGGGTGAGTCACTCCCTTGCTCTCCCTCTGTGAACTGCGGCTAATAGCCCCCCTCTTCATCACCTCCTGGTCAGGGAAGGGCGGGGAGGTTAACCCCGGTAAAAAACACATTAGAATCGTTAGATGAAAGGTGCCAGGGAAGCATGAAATATTAGGATCGGTATATCTACCCTATTCCTTCAGAAAGCAAAGTAAGGCTCCTCCTGGAAAGAATCTGAACCGCACTGGCAGCAGTGTAAAGGGAGATGCTTCCCTTCTCCGAGAGGGCTGCAAGCACTGGTCTGCAGCATGCAAAGCCACAAGCCCCAGCTGAGTGCCTGTTTATGTTTAGAGAAAGCATCCCCCAACCCTCAAAGGGTAAAAGACAGATTTCAAAAAAAAAAAAGGTCAGCCCACAAGGGGTCCCATTCAGGTTCCTCAGAGAGCGGTCAGATTTTCCAAAGCAACTCTCTGCCCAGAAGACATTTTCTGCTCAATAGGTGCCAAGCACTTCTGAAACCCTGCCCACTTCACGTAGAGCGCTTAAGAGTTGTTTGATGGAGTTCAGATAGCGCCTGCGAGGACGGGGCTGTTGTCCTTGGCCCTGCGGCACTGCGTGAAAGCCGTGGGTAAGCCCTGTCTCTGGAGCTAAAGTTCCCGTGGAACGACCTGCGATGGATCCCACCACATGGGCACAGGCTAGCTGCAGCGTGTTGGCCGGGTCGGGCCGGCCGCTCACTCTGGCAATGCCAGCTGCGTGCGTTTCCCTTCTGCATCAGAGACAGGGACTTCAGCGACTTCAAAATCTGCTTAGAACTCTGTCCCTCGCTTGATTATTTTTGCCTTTTCTATTTTTTTTCCCAGGCAATTTTCAGAACCATTCTAGGGAAAAACCACCCCCCGTCATGGAGACTCAGCGTGAAAACAGCAGTGTACCTATTAAACTCATGTAAAGACAAGGTTTCCCCTCTCTTTCAGCGGGGCTAACCAGCAGTCCCTTTTCCAGCTCCTACCAGATGTTCAGGTGAGCCGAAGTCTCATTGCTATGTCTAAAACTTACAACTGCTTTGAGGCAGGTTTTCGCATCCCCTAACAATCTGCTGAAGGGCCTTACCGCCTGGCAGCAGTGTATTTGACAAGGTAGGGAGGCAAAGTTGGCTCCTGCTGCCCACCCAGTGCCCCGGGACGCGGCTTTCAATCCTCTGCTGTGTACTGGGGCTGCTGCTATGGAGAGTCAGTGGAGAAGGAAGCTGGGTGGGATTTTTAAAAGGTACTTTATGGCTGTAACTCACTCATGTTAGGGAACCTTAGCCCCTGTAGGACCAGAGTTAGGTCAGTCATAGTACTGGAAGGGACTTCAGTCGCCACCTAGCCCACTCCACAGCTTCAAGGCAGGACACATGGGTCATGTCAGGGAGACAGCCGTCCTCGGCCCTCCAGCGGCACACACTCTGCAGCCGCTCCAGATGATCTGTTCCTGTGCTTCGCTGTCCTTACCACTGGAGCAGTTTCCCTGAAGTTTGACCTGAGTCTCCCTTGCTGCAATTTAAAGCTATTATTTTTGTCTTAGCCACTATAGACAAAAAGAACAAATCATTCCTTCCTTCCCTGCAATAGCCTTTTATCAACTTTTAAATCACTTACATTCCTCCTCAGTTGTCATCTTTTTTTTTTTTTTTTTTTTCCTGGCTGAACGTTGCCAGGGTCTTTCAACCTTCCTGTGTAGGTGAGGTTTTTTTTTCAGACCCTTGATCATTCTTGTTCTTCCCTTTTAGACCTCTCTGACAAGTTCACATTTTTCTGGAAGTGCAATACCCCAAACCGAACACAGCATTTCAGATGAGGTGTTACCATGGCTGAACACAGATGAAGGATTGCATCGCAACTTCTGCACCGTGCTGCTGTCTGTACAGCCAATACGTTGTTTGTGTTTTTGCCACAGCGTGATTCATTTTTGGTTGGGAACTCTTTTAATTCCCCGATCTTCTTATCACATACTGCTACCTGCTAATAAGGCTCTTTGAAAATCCCACCCTCAATTTGAGCTGACAACCAACACTCCCCTCCTTTCACAGCAGCACTCCCAGTTGGTAGGTCAGCCAGTTGACTGGAAAGTTAATCAGACATCAGGGAAAGACTCACAAAGAAAAGGTTAAAACGTAATTTGCCTCTGCTTTGCAAATCATTTGCTCTGCAATTCTGCCTTGTTTATACACAGGGTTCATTCCAAGTGGGACTTGCTTCTCCTGCAATTTGCCCTTGTCAGAAGACTGTCACCGTAATGAAAAGAGGGTTGAGGGTGACTTAACCAGCTCTAATGGAGTGGCACCCTCATTAAGGGTGCTGTTAAGTCTGTCTGTCAGAGAACCACATCAATGGAGCTCCAAAGTATCCTAAAAGGGTACATACTTTCCCAAGGGAAGATGTTTTTCAGCTTCTCCCCTGCATACATACATGCACTTAAAGTCTAAACCGTGTACCATGTCCAGCAGGAGAGCTTTCACAGCTACACACAACCCCTTCCCAAGACACGATGAGCCGCTGGTTTGCCCAGCCGGAGCTCCCGGGGAATGGCTGAGAGCAGGGACTTCTCTTTTAAAGGGCATGCCAAAGACATCCGTAGGCCTATTCAGCTCCTTGTTCCCCTGCTCCAGGACACAGATACGAGCATAACACTTCAGGGAAAGTTTCTGTGACGGTCTCTTGCTGAAATAGTGGTAGCACTGTTCTTGTCCCTGCACTGGTAACCTGTTTCAACCCTGGGCATCAACATTTTGCTACAAGAACTCAGCTACTCTCACTTGCAAGACAGACCCTTTTGCTTACAGCCCTGTCCCCTCTAAAAGTATGCTAACAATTTCTAACAAAAAGCATTTATATAAAAGTGAGGTGTCATAGTACAGATCAGGGAGAGGAAAGATGTATCACAGTGTGTTAGAAAAATGTCAGGTTGTGATATCTTGCACAGAGCTGTAGAGATGTTTTCACTAATTCACCTTGGCAGCCAGATTAGGTGAGTCATATTAACTCTAACCTCTAAGGCAAAAGGGGGGGAGCAGGAACAAAGCTTTACACACCGAGCCAATTTACAAATGTTTCCGTGCTGGAGCCAGCTTCGGCAGGGAGCTGATGGTTGTCACTATGCAGTTTATTGAAGTGGGGAGGGAGAAGGCTTGGACAGTGCTCTTTGGTACCAATAATGACAAACATATTCTATTAGGTGAAGAGAGGGACTGCCAGCTCCTGGCAAGCAAGCCACTCCATTCCCATTAAGAGAAGATGTTTGCCTTGAGCATGTTATCCAGGGATGAAATCCTGACCCTGCTGCCAAACCTTCCTTGCCGACAAGGGTTATCCCCTGGCTGTTTTGTCTGGTTCAGTACAACCCCTTCCCAGTGAGGGCCCTTCCAGGTTTCCCTGGGGGGGATGACTCCACATGCAGTGCAGCTCTTCTCATCCCAAAGCATCCCTTCCCATGACTCCAGGCAACCGTCTTCCCTGAAGGTTTTTTTTGCCTTTCACACGTTCATAGTTAGCTTGGTTTGTTGCTGCAGCCCCGTTAAACACCGTCGTGCCAAGCTGTAGCTCCTTAACTCTGTCCCAGTAAATGAGAAAGAGGAGCTTTCTGCTCTGGAGGCTGGAGATAGAGAGTATGAGCCTGGGAGGCTTGACAATCAAACCAACAGGGAACGACCCCGAGCAGAGTGAGCCAGGCATCTGCCGCGGCTCGGAGCTGGCAGAGCCCTTTTTGCAGAGGGATCTGCAGCAGGCGGCTTTGATGTGTGCAGGAGGAAGGCTTTGAAGGCCCGCTTGCCTCAGCCACATTTCCTATCCCCTGCCTTCCTAATTGGACCCAGTAAAGTAAATAATGAACCCAAACAGCAAACCTGCTCGGCAATGCTAGCCCGCTGGCGAGAAGCCCCGCTCTCCCCCCACCCTTTGGAGATAGCCTTGTACAACCCCATGGGCTCTGCATATTGTCTCCTGTTGACGTGCACACCTGCCTGTGCCCTCATATATATATATGAGATATCTATATAACACATATATATCATCTTCTGTGTTTTATCTATTATGTATTTTAAATATTTATATACATATAAATCCCACTGCGTGTGCAGAAATGCAGACTTACACCCTCCCCACGTATTTATGGGTCCTTCCCACCTCCACCCAAATGGCCCCTTGCACTGCCACGCACCATCACTCTTTCCTCAAAGGCTAAACTCTTCCTTTCTAGAATTGACGCACGCTCAGAAGAAACCCCACCTGTACTGCGTGCAGACAGCTCTTTCAGGTAGT